GAAACATTGTACTTAATAATGGTTTATTTGTGTGGTTATGCATGAGAGTATGTGAGTGAACAAGTGAGAATGAAAAGAATCAAACAACATTTTAAATAAACGTTATTTTCTTCACGAAATTAAGCATGCCATTCAAAAAGCGACATCGAGCCGCGTGAGGTCCGCGGGCTGCAGTTTGCCCCATCACTGATCTAAATTAATCGTCCGTCAAGCCGACTAAGGAATCAGCAAATATTTAATAGAAAACTCTTCAATTCTAACAGAAGACAAATTGATTGATTTGTTTTTTTTACGGTTTATCAACCCTTTGTAGGTTTTTAAAGCCGAAACATTTTTTATTGTCAGAATATTTTCTTCTTTTTTTACGGCTTATCAACCTTCAGTAGGTTATTTAAAGCCGAAATATATTTGGGATTGTAAGAATAATTTCTACTTTTTTATGGCTTATCAACCTTTTGTAAGTTATTTAAAGCCAAAACATATTTTGAGTTATAAGAATAATTTCTTTTTTACGGATTATCAACCTTCTGTAAGTTATTTAAAACCGAAACATATTTTGGATTTTAAGAATAATTTATTTTTTTACGTCTTATCAACCCTTTGTAGGTTATTTAAAGCCGAAATATATTTTGGATTGTACGAATAATTCTTTCTTTTTTTTTGTTTTTTGACTTGTGAATATTACATGAACACGTTTTTGAGAATAACAGTTGTTTTACCAAATAGAAAAACCTACTATTTAACCCATATTTGGGTGGGGAGATGGATTGATACTTTTCCCGAGAGTATTTTCGCGTTAGTGAATATAACGAACACCATTGGACTTCGAAGTTGGCTCTCTCACAGAAGACAAGAAAAAGGACTTTAGAAATATTTTCATTTGAAAGCACCAGGAATCGACTCCCAACCCGTTTAGATATGCTCGGTTTAAATGTAAGGAAAAATCAAGTCGAATTCTAATCGGTCCCTGCATCATCAAAAGTAGCTTTTAACTTTGTTCCTTTGGGCCACATATACTTTTCTTCAGTCACATTCATTTCATTAAGCCCATGACATCGAAAATCTTCGAGGGATAAGGACACGAGTATGGCGATGGATGAAGGGTAAAAATATCCCTTTATCTTCCTTTCCTCGTCTTTCTACTTTTAATCTTCCGAGCCCGGCGAACACTCACTCTAATTAGTTCGTAGAAAAGTACCCTCGCCCACTTTGTCATTCTCCTGCTCCCCTCCGCGTTCTTCAAATCTCTAGTTATTCGCTTTTCGTCTTCCCATCAAATTTGGCGTTGGATTCTCCCGAACCTCAAGTAACATCCGCCGACCAATCTTGTCCCTCGGCACTGATGACTTTCCATTAATGGATAACGTAGACACTAATTCCACCATCGACAACTTCATTCTCTCTCCCTCACTTTTCCTAACGTTCCCTTTTTCTTTCATTGCTTCTGAATTTCTTTCTTCCCATTTTTTTTTTTTGTTTCTTGCGTTTCAGTCTTTGCATCTTTTCTTTATTTCCTGTCATCTTTTTCCCGCCATTATTTTTTTGGTTTCCTGATTTCAGTTTCTTGCATATTATTTGATATTTTTGATATTTCTCTTTGCCTTCTTAAATGACTATTTTGATTGAATATCTTTCTTAATGGATATTTATTAACTTTAACTTAGACTGACACAGGGTCACTGAAGCCACTCACGCAGAGTGAATAGTCTAGCGATGTTAGCTTGCTCATAATTTCTCGACAACCTTTTTCTTTTTGTACATCATATATTTACAATTTCTTTATAAGTTATTCATTTTCATGGCGTTTTACTTGCTGTTGTTTTCATTTGACTTTCTTAATGTTTTTTTTCTTTTTCTGCCCATGACTTTCTTCTGTTTTTCATCCATTTTTTTCTTTCTCTTTTTTCTTCCTCTTTCTTTTTTGATTATCACCAGACTTCTCTTTCCAAGTATCAGTATTTTGTGATTTATTGTTTTTTTGTTATCTGTCTTTTATTTCATTTTTATTTTTTCGGCTTCCTTTTTTGTTTTTAAATTTTCTTTCTTTCTTTCTTTCTTTCTTTCTTTCTTTCTTTCTTTCTTTCTTTCTTTCTTTCGTAACCTGTTTATTGATTTCGTGTTTCATTCTTTTAATATGTTGGCGGAATATGTCGTTTGCTTTAATAATATTTTTGGATTTTGCTTCGCATTCACTTTTTTTTTTATAAATGAAATGTAATTATTTTCTTTCTTTCTTTCTTTCATGCACACAGTACGGACTCTCTCTATATAGATAGTTTTTCCTCATATAAGTTTTCCGTTTTCGTTCGTTCCTCTTGGTAAATTTCGATCTTCCATTTCCTATGACCAGAAACTATGCTTTACCAAAAAAAAAAAAAAAAAAAAAAATCAAATACAATCCATTCCATCGCAGATAAAATAATTAACAATGAATTTCTCTTCAGTGGCACACACCATTTTCTTAAACTTGCATAATAGGAAAACTTTCTGGGAGAATGTTGTTACTCAAAATCTTAGCCGTTCGGATTTAATGGAACTTGAAATCACAAAACCGTAAAATGATTGATATTTGGTTATGTTGCCGTTCTTTCGGTTGAGTTCAATTCATTTATTCAAGATAATATTCTTTTACTATAAAAAATCTGGCCAACGATGTAGCTGGAAAATTTTGTTTTTTTTTCTGTCAAAGCACATAACTGCTGATTCAGGATTTTGGGGACGAGTTATTATTCAGTGGTTTTTTTCCGCTTGAAAGAAGAGTGAATTGGAAATCATAAGGATTACGGTTCAATCAGTAATGCGCATCAGAGCAGTTATCTTTTTATGCATTGGTTCTTTCGGGAGAATTTCTTTGTGTTTTTCTTTGTTTTTGTAGGTAAAGCGCTTCGTATTTCCTGAAAGTCGTGAGTTCTATTCCTGGACTGTATAGCGTAGAAATGTATACGGTCTTAGCATAGAAGCCAAGCGACATGATGTGTTAGAACCGACAGTTACACCTTCTTCCTCGACTAGGTATAGAAAGGTGTCCCAGACATCTGAGGAAGGCTGAAGAATGCGGCAGCCGAACTCGTACGAAAGAATAAATATATTACAGCAACAATGCCTCGTCTCAGAACTTCAGAAAAAAAGGATCTATCTATCTATCTATCTATCTATCTATCTATCTATCTATCTATCTATGAGAGTGGATTGAAAAGTTCACAGTCTGACTATGAAGGAATGATGCTAGAGCTTTGAAATGTTGCACGTATTAATTTCAGCTCTTATTAATAACTGCATTGTTTATTTCCAGGTTATCTGACATCTAACTGTTCAAAGACTACTCCAATGAAACTAGTAGTAACTTCTCTTGAACATGGATAAATTTTGGCATCGTGGTGTTATCAAATACCTTCAGAAAAAAGGGTTTGGCCCTTAAATACATTCATGCTGATTTGGTTGCCATATTAGGGGATGACCCATCAACCATATTAAGTGTGCAAAAGGAACTAGCTGAATTTAGGAGAGGAAGGGAGAGTCTTGAAGATGACTCAAGGTCTGGACGTTCTGTAGCTGCCACCACTGAGGAAAACATTGATAGTGTTCCCCACATAGTGATGGGTGACAGACGATCGATTATAAATCAAGTGGACAATGCTATTAGCATATCCCGTGAGAGATTGAACGTAGCCTGATGTAGATTCCTGCTCGGTGGGTGCCACGCCTTCTGACACCTGATCAAAACCGTACCAAGCTGATCACATCATGAAAAAATCCGACATTGTTTGAGACAGATCCAACTGGTTTCCTTGAACGTTTCCTAATCCAGAATGAGTGTTCAGTTCATCACTTTGAGTCAGGGACAAAGGGACAATCCATACGGTGGAAATACCCCACCACATCTGCAGGTATTATGATAGCCTCAGTTTTTCGAAATGCAAAATGCATTGTGTTTATTGGCTATCTTCAAAATGGCCACACCATCAATGGAGAGTATTATGCCAAATTGCTGAGGCAGTCACAAAAGGCTATCAAGAACAAACGCCCAGGAAATGAATGGAATCTTTGTTCATAAGGACGATGTTACAGTCCATAAGCCTTTGGTTTCAATTGCTGCTGTGCGTGAATGTGGCTTTGAACTAGTTGATTACCCTTTCTGTTCTCCTGATTTAGCGCTATCTGACTATCATCTGTTCCTCAACATGGAAAAAACACTTGACTGGGAACCAGTATCACTATTATGATGACGTCATATCTGTTGTTAATCATTTTTTTGACCAACAGTATGAAAGTTTCTTCCCAAATGGAATCCAAGTACTGTAGCACGGATGTAAAAAGTGTATAGAGTGCTAGGGAGATCATGTTGAAAAATGAACCTCATTCGATCACATTCTATGAGAGGATCTTGGTCAGCCTATGAACTTTTCAGTCGACCCTTCTATCTACTTCTTTCTTTCTTTCGTTGTACTGAGTAAAAATGATAAAGGAAGCGATATTGAACTTTCTGTTCCGTGCATTGTCACCAGTCATCTCGACCGCTGAGGGACAATAGTATATATGATAGCTGAAATGTAATTTTGATCGAATCATTACAAATTAATAAATACCACTTCTCAACTAGAGTGACAATATCTAAGCAATGAGATCAATAAATCAAAAATAAAACTGGTTATATTTTATAAATATAAAAATGACCACCTGGAGACAATTTGTTTTTTTAACGTTTTTGCTTTGTAGATTGGCTACCGTCAATGTTTTACTCTAAAGATTTGAAGCTTCAGACTCTCGTTGTTAAGTTGGCTGTGCTAAAGGCTGAATCCACAAGAAAACGAAAGTCAGGGTTGGCATGATCAAAGGATGGGTTTCATATACTCGTTAACGTGGTGTCGTTAATAAAAGCTCATTGAACCAACTAAGGAGACGTCGCCAAATGCTGATTTGGATTCGGATAAGAAAAACATATATAAAGAGATCGGTAAGTATTCACATTCAGATACTTTTTCTTTGCGTTTTCGTTCAGTCAGTCAAATCAGATTGAAAATACCGGTTCTCCTTCGATCACTGAAGTTAAGCAACGTCGAGCTCGGTCAGTACTTGGGGGACCCCTTGGGAACACCAGGTACTGTAAGGAACCGCCGACAATCTGAAATATGTTTTGGCTTTAAATAAACCACAAAAGGGTTGATAAGCCGTAAAAATCAAATCACTCAATCTCAATTGTTCGATCAGATATGAACAGGCCATTTGAAATACAAAAACATCTCTATCTCTCTCAATCAGTACGTCCGAATTAAGCGAGGCGTATTATCCACGGAAGTGTGATTTGCCGTTATACAACCTAGCTTTATTAGACCGATCTCTAAACGTATCTACATAAAACTTCGCTGGTTTCGAATAACAAAGAAAGAAGAAATCCGAAAAAATTGTCAGCCTCGAGAAAATTCAGTCTATGATTTTTTAGCATTATTGCCATTTGATTGAACAATGGGAATTTAATTAGTGTTGCGTGTTTTTGTTTTAATTTTACCCTACTTTACTGAGGCCCATTTGGGCAGAGTAGATCACTCCCCAAGTAATCAATAGGAATAATCAATATACCACGTAATCGAATTAATCTTAGAGAAACAGACGACGGTTTCAAGCAATAGATTTCTAGCTCGCTCTCTTTTAAGTTAGCCGACTTGCAAACTGGGTTGACAAATTACAAATATTAACACAATGCTACTGCAAATTGCAAATATCCACTGCTACACCGGCCATGGTTCTCATGACTTCTGACTTTAATTGATTGGAAGTATTAGAATTTACATGTTTTGCCTTGAGCAATTTAGGTGGACTACAGTAAATATCCCGTTTATTAACACAGATTGCTGACCGTCATCAGGTGGGATTATTCCCTATGGGTTGACGCATTCTACACCTCTATTCACGAGAGTGGGTAGTGGGAGTGCATCATGGACGGTGTTATGAGTTTTTTTTCTTTAAACAAGAGTAAAGGTTTATCCCTTGTTCCCATTTTAGGATTGGGTTTTCGGTCTCTTCTAAAGTCTTCTCATTCTCTTTCACTACCAGTAGCGTCTTGCGCCTTAGTAACGTTGTCGCCTTATTTGGGTTGAATTGATAAAAACAAACTGAAGGATGAATCAGCCAAGTCGACTTGGGAGTTACATCTAGATATTTGGTGACATCCTCAATTGTAGACTGTCTGAGCGGACTGCGTTACCCGACCTGAAAATAATTCTAAGTGTTTCTAACTGGGCTCTGTTCGCAAGATTATGCGATGCTTTTATCAAAAAATGTCACTCATTTGGCTGTAGTGCGTGTTATAACCTTAATCATTCTTTGTATATTTGTACTGCAGGCTCACTTTGTTAGTGTGCTTTCATCTCTTCTTCTATGTGCTGTGTCCCTTCAGGTTGTTGGCGATCATGGTTCTCCGCAACTTCCTCTCCTTTTAGCTTTTCATAACCTTTTTCTTTTTGCGATGAAAGAGAGAGCGATGAAAAAGGCGGGAACGACGAGGAACGCAATAAGGGAGAAAATGGGGAAAGAAAACACTCCACAGGGAACTTAATAAATAAATAGAAACTTTCGCCGATAAACATTCATGTACAAAAAATGTAGAAAAAAAAAGAAGGAATGTGTTGCCATTTCAGCCTGGAACAAATTCTTCAGGACCAATTCTATCAAAGCGAAAATAGACAAAATACTGAAATTATCAAATGTTGCCTCTACAGCGAAAAAATATGACATTGTAAATGACATCATAACTAAACACTGATTCAAAGGTATTATAAAAACAAATACACTAGTGTAAGGACAGTAATACATTGAGAATTGTACAAACAATTTGTTATATAATTGACCCTATAAACCTATGAAACATATAAGCCTATAAACCTATATAAATGATATCGACATAATACAGAGACTGCCTTCGAAAATAAAATATATTTTTAGGTTTTGAGATCTAAAGCGACCACCCCATGCAACCAATAGAACTGAATTTTACAGTTGTAAATATGGAAAAGAGGAGCTGACAAATTGTAGACATGGCTGTGTCGGCAGACAACAGGTTGAAAATAAAGTAAAAAGAAAAAATACTAAAATATAAGGACCTCACCTGAAAACTGAGAGATCTGTGGAGCATGATGATTATGGTAGTACCCATAAGCATTGGCGCACATGGAATTGGGCACCCAAAAATTAAGCAATGGATGGATTAGAAATTTCGGGGAAGATTCCATTGTCTAGACTCAACAATGGTGCTGGATACTGAGGAAGGTGCGATGTAGATGCGACGAAAATTATATATATATATATATATATATATATATATATATATATATATATATATATATATATCTTCATATATATAAAAAAGCGTTCTAGTAGCTGTTCTTCTTTACGAAATATAAATGCCGGAACGATTAAATTGTTCCCTTCAGACCCCCCCCACCACCACCACCTCGGCGCGATGTTATTTTGCTACGGCACGCTTATTGTTTTCTCCATGTCACGATTATTTTGTTCCAGGAATAAGAAAAAACTCCTGCTTTTTTTATAAGTTGTAAAATTCCCACCGGCATGATTGTTCCAGACGGCACTCGTATTTGGTGCAAAATGCTATGGCGCAAAGGTTTACAACTACACAACACTGAGTGGTGCTGCTGTGGTTTTGGTAGCAAGTAGCTTTTATAGTATTATCTACATATTAATATCTACAATGAAATAAAATAAAAATGATAGCTATTAATGCGAGCAATTAATATACGTAAATTATATAATTTAGTATATGTTCAAGTGAACAGAATTTCTATCAATATTTGATGAGAGCAATAATTATTGAATTAGATATTATAATATTCTATAGTTATCAATGTTGATTCCACGTCTTGTAATTTACTCACTCACCCATGGATACTTAAATGTAAGGCTTTCAAGTTCTGATTGTTAAAATTACGATTTGAATATTTTTAATAGGAATAATTTCCTTTTAATCATTTTTTAAGCAAGAAGCCAGAAGAGAGTTCCACAAGCGAGAAAAGAAAGTACTAGCAAAGAACTTACGGTTACATCGAGCCAATTCAGTTGTAAAATTGTTAGACTTTGTTGTCAATCTAGTACTGCACTTACATTCATAAAGTCTAGGTACCATAGAAAAAAGTTTGTTTTTCACAGTCTGGTTCATAATTTAACAATTTCTGATTTACCGCAGATAAAAGTAATCTATGGAAGCTTCGTGTATAACTTATTCACGACAGCAAAATAGGGTATCATTAATGTATTCAGCAAATTTTAAACATTTGTTTTTTTGAGTATATTCAAATTGAAAGAGTCGTATCATTTAACTTGGCCTTATGGTAACCAGGTTTTGTTCCATTCCTTCAGGAGTTTTACCTTCAGAGACTCCAGTTGTAGTTCGTTCCGTAGACGTCTCTGTGCAAACATAAGGACACAGCCTAACTACGCCATCCGTTGCTATGTGGCTTCTCTAGCAACTAGATTTTTAAAGGCTGCAGTTGCTAGCCCCACGTCAAACAGGTTTTGAATTCATAGTTGTCTTTCACCTAAACTGGTTGGCAACCTAGGCTGGAGTTCCCACCGTGCTTCGTAATTAACACCTAACCATAGAAAAGAGAAATGGATTCATACACTTCCAAACGTATTTGTGCGAATGCAATGGCAGCCGGCGGGCCAATGTTATTTTGCGGGCCAATGTTATTTGCCGCGCCGTTAACCGCTACGCTACACACACATCCGCTCTGAATAAAATCTATTGAAAATACGTACAGTGATCCGTGTTGCAACTGATGTACAACTTTTAGAAAACGCTTGTGATTTTTTAAAACCACATCTAGTTTCGTATTCACACTGACAGTGAATAAACTGCTACGGACGGAAAGTAAATAAACTAAAACAAGCGAACAATAATGTTCCTGTTACAATCGTCTGTTTTCATTCTTTAAAATATAATATATAATTATTTTAAAATGCAGGCGTTAACATTTTATTGAGAAATATATTGTTGGTCATGGCTTTTCGATAATTCTATTGTTCATATTTTAATGCAGTGATCGATCATTTTGTGGCTAATGAAAACACTTAGTGGAGAAGTATATTGTCTATCTTTATTTTCTTTCTTCACTTTTTATTTCTTTCTTTATTCTTTGTTTCTGCTACTTATTCTTTCTTTCTTAGCTTTGTGGTTGTCGTCGTGTTGCAGACTAAGCTACGTTTACTTTAGCACAAAAACACAACACTAAGGCACTGGTGAGGATCGAACTCATTTCATTGAAGAATCTGTCTGCGAGACTAATGTGTCACAGCGGTATAATCCATAGATGAATAGCTTAGCTTTGTCAATTGTTTCATCATATAAAATGCGTGAAAAAGTTACCAGCGTTTTATAGGTATCTGTATAGGCATGAATTTCGGCAGCAGTTTTGCACTGTTACATGTTTCATGAAAAATTAGGAGCAAAGAATTAAAGCAAAAATTGAAGACACGTTTTCGTTATATATATATATATATATATATATATATATATATATATATATATATATATATATATATATATATATATATTGTCATGGTCCCTACCTAGAACGACATAATGAACTCTTCGTTACGCTATATATACTACGCCTCTCAATAGAGACGGACGGTATTGGGACGGTATTGAATCGGGTCAAGCTGATAGCAGTCACGCCAAACCAGTCGGACAGTCTTACTAACCTTTTCACTTCTTGTATGATTTCTCGTGTAATATATTCTTCGTTATTTCTACTGTTGTGTTTCGTGTTGTTCTTCCATGGTCCTAACCTTGGACCATAACATATATATATATATATATATATATATATATATATATATATATATATATATATATATATATATATATAGAGAGAGAGAGAGAGAGAGGAGGAAGGGTATATGGGAATCGACATTACATAGAGGCTTCCGATTTTCAGATCGCATTGTAGCGTGAAACATGCCCATCACTTGGCCTGAAAAAACGCATTAAGGCCCGATACCGATTGTGAATAGGCAGTGTTTATTCGAATATCTCCCATTGTCTACATCCGCAAATGCTCTGTCTCAGATATTGAGCACCAAACTTTGAAC